CTCTCTCTCTCTCTCTCTCTCTCTCTCTCTCTCTGTGTGTGTGTGTGTGTGTGTGTGTGTGTGTGTGTGTGTGTGTGTGAGAGAGAGAGAGAGAGTGGATGTGGTGTCGAAAAAGCTCGACGGGAGAAGTCGCAAATTGCAAAATCCTCCAAATCATTATAAAGCAAAAAAGAAAAACAGCGCAATAAAAAAATGCATATTGCAACAGTGATTGTAATCTCTACCTTGTCCTCCGCCTTCTTCCTCCTCCTCCCTTGTTGCTTGTTCTTCTATCTACATCCTCTCTCCTCCTGGATCCATCTTCGTCAATCCTGCCTTCACCCTTGTGATGCTCCTCCTTCATCCTCCAGCCTCTTTCTCCTCTTTCCTCCTCCTTTCTTCTCCTTCTCCCTTCATCCTCTCTCTTCCAGGATACATCGCGGCCCTCAGATACTCGGCGCCTTCATTATTCGGTTCATGCTGCGCTGGCAGCGTGCGTTGCGTGTGCGTGTGTGTGTGTCGCGACCCTGCCCTTATCGTTATGATGCTCCTTCCTTCTCGTGCGTCCTCTTCCTTTGTTCTCCAGCCATGGCCTCGCAAGCAAAGAGGCTGGCCGGCAATGTTCTCGCCTGCGGCTCCGCCCTCACTGAACACCGATGCCCGCTCGATTGTCACTTCCTTCCCCTCTTGAACCCTGTCAACCCTGCCACGTCGGCCATCCATTCACGGCAGGACAGTCACTACACTTGTGTGCGTGTGTGTGTGTGTGTGTGTGTGTGTGTGTGTGTGTGTGTGTGGATGATAAGACGAAGCAAAGACAGCGAGCTAAGAAACAAGTAGTACCCACGGAAGGCATAGACATAGGCTCGAGGGCAAAGGCAAGGTGAGTGGACAGACACACAGTGGGAACAGCACACTGGCAAGGCAGGGAGGCACTATGATGAACAAGCAGCGGACGAAGGAGGGCACGGGGCGAACAGCACACTGGCAAGGCAGGGAGGCACTGTGATAAACATCAACCGGACGAAGGCTAGAGGGCACGGGGGAGGCGGGGGAAGCAAACAAGCAGCACGTAACAGGGCGAACAACACAAGGCAAGGGAAGGCATGGTGGAGGCAGGCGGGGAGACAAACAGCCCAAAGCATCAGGGAAAGAACAGCGAGCCAAACAGCAGCAAGGCAAAAGGAGCAACCAAAAAACTAAGTATGACAAAAAGACACAGACCGAAAAAAATAAAGATGAAAGATTGTTTCGTCGGAGTTGCACCGACTCATCAGGAGGCTGAACCCTCGACAATCTGCGGAATCCCCGTATTTGATGGTTTGGGTCATGAACCCTTTGACCCTTGTTGAAGGCAGACTGTCCCCAAGAGGAACATAGCAAAGGGCAGCAACCCTATGAAGCACCAGGCAACACAGTAGAGGCAACACGGCTGCACAACGCCAAACGACTGCAAGGAACGACATGACACGCAGCGCGGCAGCTGTGTAGTGAAGCACAAGGCAACAGCACTGCAGGGGACGACAGGGCGAGTGACCCAGCAGCTGGGCAACCGTGGAGCGGAGCACAAGGCACCAGCAACAAAGCAACCAACCTACAGGGGACACAAGCGGCAAGCACGGAAGGCACGGCCAACGGATGAGCAGCATGGCAGCAGAGCAGCGAAGCGCAAGGTAACACCAACAATACGGCCACACCGCACAGCGAACACATCAACCCCCAAAGAACCACACGCGAAGCAAGTGAGACAGGCAGCAGGGCAGCGCCGGAGCGCAGACGAGGACGTCCACACATCCAACACGGAGCAAAGCAGCACATGACCTACTCACATCACGATAGAACCCCGCAGACTGTTGGTTCCCACCACCCACTGAGCCAGGGAGTCACTCCGACGAACATCCGTCATCACCGACTGGCAAAACAGACATCCCGAACCGAGCAGCCCCCATAAGAGTGCAGTAGGCACTCCAAAAGAGGAACCACCGACGGTTTGGCACTGCTCGAGGGTGCTCCGTTGGGCACACAAAAAACTACTTGGAAAAAGCTCAGGAGGACAGACAACGGGAGAAAGGCTTACAGACATAAAACTGATTGTGTGTGTGTGTGTGTGTGTGTGTGTGTGTGTGTGTGTGTGTGTGTGTGTTTATTTTGCAAACGGAACCCCCACGACCTGTGCCGCGGCATGTTGCGTCAAAAGCACATGCTTAATGAACAACCCCAACCGAGCGAAACCCGGACAACCAGATCAAACCAACACAGCCACACAAGTCGGGGGCGCGTGAAAATATGGTCCACGTGAAAACGGTATTCACCAGTTCGCAGTAGCTGATGCAGATCCCAGGGCTCGATCCCTAGTCCCCACCTTACCTGTGTACAGTATCTGTGTCGACCCCTAGAGTTGAACCCGTGACCTGTGCATTTGTAATAGCCGGTAGGTTGTCGTAGGGTCCAATTCCAGAAGAAATTGCTTGTAGAAAATTTATGAGCTTAGTCCGAAAATCCCTAAGTGTTGGATATGCTCTTACGTTCTTGCGAACGCCTCTACTATGTAACATTAGCAGGGATTCGATCTGTAAACCTGTCGAGTAGGAGTCCCAGTCAGGTCTAGCAGTCGTAGCTGTAGCTGTCTCGAAGGGTCAAGGTTGTAGCTGCTACAGTCCAGAAAGGTCAAGGTTGTAGCTGCTACAGTAACGAAAGGCCAAGTCTACGGCCTTCCGGAAGGTCCCAGTAGTGGCCTTTCGAAGTTGCCCACGTTTAGGCTGAGGCAAGTGGGCAAGTGGTGGAGTCTACCCGTCCTGAGTCAACAGTCCCAGTCCCCAGTCAGTCCTGGTCCAGTCAAGCAAGTACCGTATGGGGACTGTGTGCATTTCGGGCATGGGAAAGGGCCAGACCAACGAGCTGCAGAAGTATAAATCACGAGGCAGGGCCCAGTCATTCATTCATTCCTGCGTGAGCCATGCGGAAGCGCTGCCATAAGCGACTTGTGCAAGGAGGTCTGCAGTGAGCCCAAGGATGAAGTGGGCGAGAGAGGAGCGTAGCCATAGCGATAGGGTAGTAGCGGCCATAGCCGCCATAGCTGTAGGCCATAGCCGCCATAGACATATGTGTGTGTGCGTGCCCAGAGTACCGCGTGTGGGATATCCAGGGTGATCCTGTGTATGCGAACAGAGAGTTGTGTGGGCGCTGAGTCGCCATAGCCATCGAAGTGAACCTGAATCTGAACTGTGTTCTCGGTTACCATATCTCTGAGTTCTGAGTGGGCACTTGTCGCAAGTTTGCTGCGCACCTGTTTGCATGCGTGAGAAGTGTGAATGAGAGTGAGTCTGATTGCATGCGTGAGAAGTGTGAATGAGAGTGAGTCTGATTGCACATGTAAGAATTCATGCATAATCTTGCTCATACATGTGGAAAGGAAATTAGTATTCCGACCAAAGCATGTAGTGTACCTATGCCAATCCAGATCCGTGCGCCCATGATCGGAAGGAGCGAAGATTAAGAAAGGAGAAAAAAGGAAGCGGGAAAGGGAGAAAAGCAACTTTTCAAAACACAACATATTGATGGCAGTTCCTGTTCCGAGTATGTAACCACAACCAATTGGAAAAACACGCTACTCCAAAAAACGCGTCAAGCGAGATCCGCAACCGAGCCTCCAAAACTCCACGAAGTAATACGCTGAACATGTACGAAGATACTGCCACTCAGAAGAAGGCAAAAGGAGAAAACTCCAAGTACCAGCGAAAACTCCATGACCGAGGCAGTAAAAAACAGGACAACCGACCTCTGATGTATAGTTTCAGCGGGGGAAACCGGACATGCTGAATGCAGATCCATAGTGGAGATGTCGAGGAACGCTAGGAGCTTCCATGAAAAGAAAAAGCAGAGAATGCCCGGAAAAATCACGCCAGCACATAGTATAGCAAGGAATCGAATGCCACCGATCGCTCGCACATGAACGCTACCCACACCCCCTTGTAGCTCCCACCACAAATCCCTCGTAGAATGCTGCGTTGCCATATTCAACAGCCAGAAAATGCTACCGAATCACCTTTCCCACTGAAACGATCAGATGCTCAAGGGATTTACTGCTCCGACCACGCTCGACTCCAACAATGCATCACAACTCACCACAAGAATCCTCCCCTAAGCACTCAGCAAGGTACTACAGATATCACGCTTTGCAGAAACACGTCTGAACACTTGAGGCCGACGAATTCGCGACAAGACCCCGGCTTATACACAGAAGAGCTTTGCGGCTATCCAAAAACGCGAGGAATGACAAGAAGGCGAAGAGCGCAACCCAAGTGACGACGATGCAGTACGCTACGCCTAATTCGTCCATAATGGAGGTCACCAGGAGCAAAGGCGCCTCAATCTTGCAATAGTGCTTCCACGCGTTCCTACGTCAGAACACAAACACACATCCCCCACATAGGGAACTCCCATGGGCTAGGCAAACAAACAAGAAAACGCCCAAAAAAGAATTCCCTGACATGCACTCCACGTGAAAAACACAATCAACACATCGACAAAGACATAATCCAGAAAACAAAAACCTTGTTAAGAGGACCACATAAGTCCGGCTGAAAAAAAAGGGGGAAGGTGGGGGGTGGGAAGAAGGGGGGGAAGAGAGAGAAAAGAGTTTAATCCCAATTCAGCCGAGCGGCCCATAATGCCGACGCATGGAAGGAGGGTAGTGGATCGCGCCCTTAAGTACTTTTCACCGGCCTCCACTATGCAGGCTCTTCAAAGAACAAAAACTCCCTCCCATTGCGCTCCGAAAGGGATTCTGGAGGACATATCCTCAATAAGACCGAGACAAAAGAGGAGAGGGGGAGGGAAGCAGGGGAGGGTTTGCTTCGTCCTTTTTCAAAAAAACGGGATGGGGGGAGGGGGGGAGAGAGTTTATATGGGAGAGGCCGTTATGAAACGGTATTCACCAATTCGTGGTAGCTGAGGTAGATCCCAGGGCTCGATCCCTAGTTCCCCAACTTACCTGTGTACAATACCTGCGTCAACTCGAAGAGTTGAACCTGCGACCTGTAGAACCGCCAGTGGTAGGTAGGTCTGTCGTAGGTCTATAGGTAGCCAGGAYTCGATCCGTAGACCTATAGACTAGAAGGCTAGCTGCAGTCCTTCTAGAAGGTTGGCAAGTGGTCAAGTGGTGCAGGCAAGTGGTCAAGTGGTGCAGGCTAGTGGTCAAGTGGTGCAGGCAAGTGGTCAAGTGGTGCAGGCAAGTGGGCAAGTGGTGTGACTAGAGCAAGCACATGTTGGAGAGAGTCTAGAAAGTACCAGTCCGGTCCAGCAAGTACCACGGGGGGAACTGTGTGCACCATGGGCCAGGGACACAAGGCAGACCAATGCAGCACAGAAGTATAAATCAAGAGGCTGCGTCCATTCATTCATTCATTCCTGCGGATGCCAGGCGGAAGTGCTGCCTTAGCAGCTTGTGCGAGGCGGTCTGCAGTGTGCCCGAAGACGAAGTGGGCAGAGAAGTGTAGTGTAGCGATAGGGTAGAGGCAGCTAGC